ATTTGACTTACAGGTCGAACAACAAATGTTCTTAAACCCTGATGACTGCCATTGGCGATTGCCAAATAAACGGATCACCGATGTAATAAATGGATTTTAATTATAAATTTAATACTAATCAGATAACGATAAACTTGCGGAAAAGATGGTATACCGCAAACAAAAGGTGCAATGGTTTTTGTACACCATATCAGGATTTCGACAATTAATGTCTCTTCAGTGATGGTAGGAATCGAAACGGTATTTGGAAAGCCATACAATTTACCTCAATTTTGGATAGACTCTTGAATTTTGAGGAGTCAATATAGGATGAACGGATCAAATAAACCCGAAGGCAATAATAATACAAGCCCAAACGAAAAAATATAAACAAGCCTTAATTGAAAACAACGTTCAAACCTATGATTGCGTTGGATAAAAACCACAATTTTTATACGTGTGCATGCAAAACAAATTTCTTGTTAGAGGGGTATAAATACAGCACAGACAACATTTTCTAAAAGACCAAAAAAGTGAAAAAGTATATTTTAACAAAACACATTTGACTAACAGGTCGAACAACAAATGTTCTTAAACCCTGATGACTGCCATTGGCGATTGCCAAATAAACGGATCACCGATGTACTAAATGGATTTTAATTATAAATTTAATACTAATCAGATAACGATAAACTTGCGGAAAAGATGGTATACCGCAGACAAAAGGTGTATATATATATATACAAGTCTAAATTGAAAACAACGTTCAAATCTGATTGCGTTGGATAAAAACCGCAATTTTTATACGTGTGCATGCAAAACAAATTTCTTGTAAGAGGGGTCTAAATACAGCACAAACAACATTTTCCAAAAGATCAAAAAAGTGAAAAAGTATATTTTAACAAAACGCATTTGACTAACAGGTCGAACAACAAATGTTCTTAAATCCTGCTGACTGCCATTGGCGATTGCCAAATAAATGGATCACAAGGTGTAATAAATGGATCTTAACTTTAAATTTAATACCAAACAGAAAACAATAAACTTGCGGCAAAGATGGTATACCACAAACATGAGGTGCAAATATTTTTTGTACACCATATCCGGATTTCGACAATTAATGTCTCTTCAGTGATGTTAGGAATCAAAACGGTTATTGGGAGGCCACATAATTTACCTCAATTTGGGATAGACTCTTGAATTTTGAGGAGTCAAAATAGGATGAACGGATCATATAAACCCGAAGGCAAATATAATACAAGCCCAAACGAAAAAATATAAACAAGTCTAAATTGAAAACAACGTTCAAACCTTTGATTGCGTTGAATAAAAACCGCAATTTTTATACGTGTGCATGCGAAACAAATTTCTAGTTAGAGGGGTCTAAATACAGCAAAAACAACATTTTCCAAAAGATCAAAAAAGTGAAAAAGTATATTTTAACAAAACGCATTTGACTAACAGGTCGAACAACAAACGTTCTTAAATCCTGCTGACTGCCATTGGCGATTGCCAAATAAACGGATCACAAGGTGTAATAAATGGATCTTAACTTTAAATTTAATACCAAACAGAAAACAATAAACTTGCGGCGAAGATGGTATACCGCAAACAAAGGTGCAAATATTTTGTACACCATATCCGGTTTCGACAATTAATGTCTCTTCAGTGATGTTAGGAATCAAAACGGTTATTGGGAGGCCACATAATTTACCTCAATTTGGGATAGACTCTTGAATTTTGAGGAGTCAAAATAGGATGAACGGATCATATAAACCCGAAGGCAAATATAATACAAGCCCAAACGAAAAAATATAAACAAGTCTAAATTGAAAACAACGTTCAAACCTATGATTGCGTTGGATAAAAACCACAATTTTTATACGTGTGCATGCAAAACAAATTTCTTGTTAGAGGGGTCTAAATACAGCACAAACAACATTTTCCAAAAGATCAAAAAAGTGAAAAAGTATATTTAACAAAACGCATTTGACTAACAGGTCGAACAACAAATGTTCTTAAATCCTGCTGATTGCCATTGGCGATTGCCAAATAAACGGATCACAAGGTGTAATAAATGGATCTTAACTTTAAATTTAATACCAAACAGAAAACAATAAACTTGCGGCGAAGATGGTAATATATATATATATATATATATATACAAGTCTAAATTGAAAACAACGTTCAAACCTATGATTGTGTTGGAAAAAACCGCAATTTTTATACGTGTGCATGTAAAACAAATTTCTTGGTAGAGGGGTCTAAATACAGCACAAACTACATTTATATATATATATGTATTTATTCTAGACACTAATTAAAAACTGACAAGGAAAGGTAACACCGAAAGATAATTCAGCTGATCTGTAACAATTCCATCTCCATGCCTTATATATCATGTACTGTGTTACGACACTAGATAAAAACTGACGAGGAAAGGTAACACCCGACGACCGAAAGCTTTATTTTTATAGAGCATAGGTGGTCGGGTGGTCTAGCGCGTCGGGTATAGTGCAAGGCGATTTGGTGCCACGATATCTCAGTAGCATGAGTTCGAATCCCGGCCAGGGAAGAACAAAAAATTTGCTTCCGCAAATTTACAGATCTAACATTGTTGGGCTGTTGTTTAGACGAATTATATATACAGAATGTATTTTCAGCCTTGTATCACCATCACTGCTGATGATCCGATGGATAAAATCTGTTGTAGAGTCGTCACTGGTTCAGACGTACTTATAATATAATTATTTCTGTGACTGCATCTTACATTAATTTGTAGGATCCTTTACAATAGATAATTCAGCTGATCTGTAACAATTCCATCTTCATGCCTTATATATCATGTACTGTGTTACGACGCTAGATAAAAACTGACGAGGAAAGGTAACACCCGACCACCAAAAGCTTTATTATTATAGAGCCTAGGTGGTCGAGTGGTCTAGCGCATCGGACATAGTGCAAGTCGATTTGGTGCCACGATATCTCAGTAGCATGAATTCGAATCCCGGCCAGGGAAGAACAAAAAATTTACTTTTGCAAATTTACAGATCAAACATTGTTGGGCTGTTGTTTAGACGAATTATATATACAGAATGTATTTTCAGCCTTGTATTACCATCACTGCTGGTGATCCGATGGATAAAATCTGTTGTAGAGTCGTCATTGGTTCAGACGTACTAATATAAAAATTATTTCTGTGACTGCATATTACATTAATTTGTAGGATCCTTTACAATAGATAATTCAGCTGATCTGTAACAATTCCATCTTCATGCCTTATATACCATGTACTGTGTTACGACGCTAGATAAAAACTGACGAGGAAAGTTAACACCCGACCACCGAAAGCTTTATTTTTATAGAGCATAGGTGGTCGAGTGGTCTAGCGCGTCGGGCAAAGTGCAAGGCGATTTGGTGCCACGATATCTCAGTAGCATGAATTCGAATCCCGGCAAGGGAAGAACAAAAAATTTACTTCCGCAAATTTACAGATCTAACATTGTTTAGACGAATTATATATGCAGAATGTATTTTCAGCCTTGTATCACCATCACTGCTGGTGATCCGATGGATAAAATCTGTTGTAGAGTCGTCACTGGTTCAAAGCTTTATTTTTATAAATGCGTTTTGTTAAAATATACTATTTCACTTTTTTGATCTTTTGGAAAATGTTGTTTGTGCTGTATTTAGACCCCTCTACCAAGAAATTAGTTTTGGATGCACACGTATACAAATTGCGGTTTTTATCCAACGTAATCATAGGTTTGAACGTTGTTTTCAATTTAGACTTGTTTTTTATTTTTTCGTTTGGGCTTGTATTATATTTGCCTTCGAGTTTATATGATCCGTTCTTCCTATTTCGACTCTTCAAAATTCAAGAGTCTATTCCAAATTGAGGTAAATTATATGGCCTTCAAATACCGTTTCGATTCCTAACATCACTGAAAAGACATTAACTGTCGAAATCCGGATGTGGTGTAGTAATTTTTGCACCTTTGGTTGCGGTATACCATCTTTTTCGCAAGTTTATTGTTTTCTGTTTGGTATCAAATTAATAGTTAAGATCCATTTTGTTACATCTGGTGTTCCGTTTTTTTTTGGCAATCGCCAATGGCAGTCAGCAGGGTTTAAGAACATCCGCTGTTCGACCTGTTAGTCAAATGCGTTTTGTTAAAATATACTCTTTCACTGTTTTCGTCTTTTGGAAAATGTTGTTTGTGCTGTATGTATATAAATATATATAGATAAGTAAAGGAAGAATCAATTTTGTCTTTATGAACATGTATTGCATGTTGTCTTCCTTCTGGAAATGATTGTCATTAGATTTCAATAGACGTTTCATGTTAATGCAAGTCTTCGTTTTTTAGGCATAGTCTGTTTGGCTTGTATTTCGTATTGTTCGCTGTCTTTTGTTCGATAGATTGATACTACTTATTGTTCGCTAGCTTGAGTCTGGTAACAAAATATGACAATTAAGATTACAATAGCAATGAATCATCACCTTACATTGTTGAACTGAGAACCAACACGAACACCTGTAAGAGTGTCATTTCAAATATTCCGTTTAGAGTAGTTTTCGGTATCCTGCGTTTTCAAGAGTTGCGAATATAAACATTAAAAGGTGTATTGTTAGAAGAATCAAAACTTATTTTTCAAATAGCAAAATCTGGGATATTATCATGAAGCGTTATCTTTGTTAAGAGGTATCCATTTCATAGTAAGAACATAAAGCTAAATATCACTACAACTATTAACCTTGTTCATCATTTTCAAAAAGGCTTAATAAATTAAAAAAGAAAAAAGGGCCAATACCCTTATTTTTCGTTTACATTGCCTCTGAACATTTTAATATCTCCTGCAAATATATCTATTTGTATATTTGTATAATATAAGTACGGTGGTGATTTTCTTCGCCAACGAGTTATTTTCCCGCGTTTAATCTGTGTAGATTTCTTGTTTTTGTTTTCTGTTTAACGATGTTTTTATGCCTATATATTATTAAATTTATACCACATTAGATGCTCCAGCAATGCCAACAATCACGCAAATACCAATTGGACCAGTTATTGAAGGAAACATGCTGATATTGACTTGTGAAATATCGGGAGGATATCCCTTAGCTACTATTACTTGGATATGTGACGGTTTTACGCAAATTACAACAAGTCATAGTCCTCTACATGATAAAGTTGTTTCCCGCATTGAACTTAATGTAACTAGAAACAGTGATTTTAAAGAATGCATATGCAGAGGACAACATCCTCTCTGGACAGAAAACAAGGAGGAAAGACATACCCTTATTGTTTACTGTAAGTAATGTTATTTTGAAATATCAACATCCAGATATTAAATATATAAATCAATTAGGTGGAATTTGTTCCACAATTGCCTTTAAATCGTACACTATAGAGTCAAATACCTGTTTCAAAAGAAATAATTTAGGAACTCTTATGAGTTAATTATCGGTATCAAGGGCACATACGTGATAATAATTTGTTGTTAAAGTAAATATCAAACCGTTATTCTCATTTGTAATCACAACATCAATTTGCTCCTTCTCATTGTTCATCTGGGTTTATAAATAGGCGACAGTGGTTAACACATTTCAGATGGAATCTATTGGAATAATTTGTTTAAAATAAACAAGATTTTGGAAGATTGCAATTTCATTCTTAAAAAAATACCACTTTATTTAGTGTTCTCCTGTCTGCACAAAAAGTTTATAGCCTAATAATTTATCTGATTAGTTCAACGTTTTCTTTAAAATAAGACATTAAAATACATTTCCAAGTCGTAAAGATATTAGCATAGATAATCCTTAAGTTGTTTCAGTCTGCAATTATAGTTGCCGTATCAATTATATTTTCCCACACATTTGTTGTTAACAGTGTTTCTGTTTCTGTTTGTTTTGTTTCGATTTTCTTATAGTTTTAGAGCTAGCATTGAAAGCAGTATCTATAAAAATAAGAAGTTGTATACCCTAAGGTGAATGAAGAATAAAAAGATGAGTACATATATATATAAATAACTATATTGTGTTATTTGAGAATGTTTGTCCTTCACTTTTATAGTTTGACCATGGACTTTTATGCCCTTTTTTTCGACTCGTTGTGTTTTAATTATTTTTCAGTCTCTCCGGACGAATCCCCATCAATAACTCAAACACCTGTGGGTTCTGTTGATGAGGGTTCCCAGGTATATCTAACATGCGAAGTACAAGGAGGCAAACCTTTAGCAAAACTTGAATGGCAGTGTGATGGATCCTCACCAATCACTTCTACTGTAAGCCCATCTACAGATATAACCATTTCCAGTGTAGAAATAACAGTAACTAAGTACCAAAATGGTGAAATGTGTACATGCTCTGGTGTTCATCCCACATGGAACCAGAACAAATCAACCAGTATACAACTTGACGTCAATTGTAAGACGATAAATTCATATTCACAAAAATGAAACAAATTCCAATAAAGCACATGTCAGAACAAAAATGAATACATACTGTACAATATTATTATATTCAATATAAGGCTTCAACATAAAGTTCAAATATTTGTACTTCGTGCTATTGTTCTTATTGAAAACAGGCTTTCATTTCTATCAATACACTACAAAAATTCTTTTGATTAAATTTGTTCAAAACATGGCTTATTGTTATTAGAATACATAATATATTGTCGTTAACATTTTTATTTGACACGGTTGTGTTAATTCATGGAATTAATTGAAGAGCATTTACTATTATCTTTGTAACTGGAAACAAATATTTCGCAGAGCATAAAATACCGGTAAGTTATTTCTATTTGACTTTCCATTTTTTGCCTATGTTTTTAAGATCCCCCGGAATTATTCCCACCAATTACACAAACAGCCAGTGGACCAATTATTGAAGATAACAAGGTTATTCTAACATGTGAAATCATTGGAGGTAATCCTTTAGCTACTTTATCCTGGCAATGCAATGGGTTCACACTGCTTGCATCAATTGGCAACCTGCCAACAAATAAATTAGTTTCTAGCATAGAGAAAAACGTTACCAAAGCAGATAATGATAAAATATGTACATGTACAGGACAGCATCGGCTCTGGACGCCTAACCAAAAGATAAGGATTCACACTTTAAATATTTACCGTAAGTACTTTGAACATAGATATGACAACATGCAATGCATGGCCTATATGTAGTATGTACACAACTTTTAGTTAATTCCCATTCAAATCTTTCCCAGACTGATTTAAACTTTTTATTCCATATAACGTTTTGATTTGTTTAATGAAAAGGGGTAGCCAATTTTTAATTAACATGCTGTCATTATTCACATGATGTTATAAAATCAAACAATTATGCTTGAAATATATTTGAATTTTAAGAGAGATGATATATACATTGTTGTAGTTTTATATGCATACGTTTAAGCAACGTAACAGTCTACTCAATCGCGCCTGAATGCTAAAGGGGAACCAATGTGGTTTTTTCCTGAATTGATTATTGACCAGTTTTAGAATTTTTATTCTTGCAGGCGGCTGATACGCCTTATAAACAATTTACTTTAATTCAATTTTATTCTATGCAATTATTGCAGATGCATATACGTACCGAAATCTGCTGTTTTGTGAATTTTAATTCAAAAGATTCGTAATACCGTATATCGGGTTTTTTTTTCGCCTGTGTTTAATTTTCGCTTTGTTCGTGGTAGCTAAAGAAGCGTGAAAATTTCACCCCGCGTAACTTTCCCTGCATATTCCACGATTTATCAAATTTTGAAAGTTTTATCCATTATACTGATAACTATAGAGTCTTTTGTGGTGTTCAACAGATCAGAAAATGAGCATACTTAATTAAAATCTCTGTTTTCATAATAATTAAATTGACTAAACATGCGTGTCACACCTTTTGAAAACACAGTTATCAAATGTTAATTAGTGACGAGCTTTTTTTTGGATAGGTGTCATAACCCAAACAATAAAAAATAGAATACAAATAAATCCCTTTTACATAGTTATTTGTATTTCTATATTGATCAGATTTCCATTTCTAGTATTCCTCAATGTTCATAATTTACGTTCCTTAAAAGTTCTATAAATTGTGTACTTTCGTTTGTATTACTCGTATTTATTTGGGATCGATTACCTGTCGGTCAATCAATTAACATCTTAACAATGCTAAACAGTTATATTTTCGCGTGTATTGCCCCATTCAGCGAAAATTATACACTGTGAAAATTTAACCTGCCCATATTTTGTCATGAAATCGCGAGAAAAAGCCTACGCGAAAACACCCGATATACGGTATCTGGTATCTTTACGTTTCATATTTTTGTATAAATAATTATGTCATATACAAACATCTTTAATTATGCGCCTGTTTTAAATTTTTCAAGGCAACTGGAATAGTGGTAAACAATCAAAATATGTGTTAACTTAAGGAAGATCTGGTGTCTTTTTCCGAGCATCCCTTCTGAGATTTGCAAAAATACTCTTAAGGTTGAGAAATATTTTACCAAGTATCATTCAATATACAACAGAAACATCTAAAACTTGAAATTTAAAGATTAAACTATCAGTAAGTTAAGTGTCGTTTAGAGTATTCGAAATTTTCAGGACAAATCCTTTTAAAATCAATATAATTATATTGAATTTGATACGATACTTTCTGGGTTTTTGTTATATTTTTCCAGAAAACTAGGCCGTTGAACCCATAGTTTTATTTGATTTTTTGAAAGTGTTTATGAAAAGCAATTCTCTCATTGATTTTTAACAAATTCTATCGTTTAGTGTTTCCTCAAAGAGAAAAAAAATATATCCCCTATATAACCCATATAGAATAACTGTAATTTCCTTAATTTCAATGCATTTGAACGAAAAAACAAGATCCGTGACCCCAGTTTTTATATTGAAATTTGAAAAATAAAGAATGATCCAAAAGTGTTTTAAAGAGGTTTAAGAAAAATATATCGTCGAACATTTTAACGAAAAAACAAGATCCGTGACCCCGGTTTTTATATTGAAATTTAAAAAAAAAATTGATCCAGAAGTGTTTTAAAGAGGTTTAAGAAAAATATTTCGTCGAACATTTAGACAACCCAGTTACCTTAAACAATTAAGATTTCCTTTTATATTGAAACAGTTTAGTTAGAACTGAATATTTGCCTATAATGTTTTGTTTAAAATACACTGTCTATTGCATTTAATAACTGGATATCCACCTTATCAAAAGTCAAAATGAAAAAAAATTGCATCATGTGTTTTGATAACAAAAGAATAGAAAACTGCAACGAAATTAAGTTGGAATTCCAGATGAAATGGACTCTCGAAGCTTCGGTCACAGCCTTCAAATTGTTGAAACACCTTTATAAACACAATCTGCATTATGTTCGTCGCCGTAAATTTCTCGCTACGCTTTGAATCATGGCGTCCACTTTTTACTGCTTGGGATGCTAATTGTCAGATATTTAAGGCTCCTTTGCAGACATTTAGGTCGACATGTCAGACAATTATCTGATAAATAGGAATTAAAAATATGCGATCATATTTTTGTGTTGTCTCACTGAATACCTTCATTTGTATTACTCTAAAAAAAATACTTCACTATCAATTTTATAATGAGCAGATTATTTCTAAAAGCATTTTATCGATGGTTATTTGATATGAGAAGGTGATAAAACAAAATATATTCTGAATTTATATTTTATTATATCAATATTATTATTATTATTATAACAAAACTAACGTGTTGCAAAACACCATAACGCAACCATACGTTGCATGTAACACGGATGACAAATTAGCCAGGCTTTTTTTTGCCCAGCAATTTGAGATTATAGTAACTTTTTATCGAACAACTAAGGTAGTTTTTCTTTTGTATAAAAGATCTGTATCAACTTGTCCTTAATTACTAAAACAAAACTACCAAAAACTAGTCTGGTGACATTTAGCTAGACAGTCTTTCAAAGCATCAATATTCTATACACAAATCGATAAAAATATTGTTTATAATATGATAATATTATTATTTTCTATAACAAAAACCAGAATTACTAAGCATAAACTTTATTTACCTCTTGGAAAGGGAGCCTGCGGAATTTCATATAGTTAGTATAATCTGTATCATTTCGGTTAGAATAAATGCCGTTCAAATTGACTAGATGAATGGTCTCAAAGTTTTTCTTAATATTGTTAATGTGCTTTAGTAAAGGTTTTATCCAAGCTCTTGGACAGAGTTTCTGGTAATAATGTCGAAGTTTTCATGACATGCGTTCTTTTACATTGGATTCTTTGCCTTTCAAACATTTTCCAAACTTGTTTTATATAAGGATATGTGCTATCGAATATGTGATAACATTTAATCTCACTATTAATGCATTATCAACTATTGCGCCGTAAGGGGCTTTTATTTTTTCTTCGTTCTTCGGTGTCTACAATCAATAATGGTCTACCAGATCCGTGAATGGCTTTATTATTTCACACAAGGTGTCATACCTTATTTACCTGTGAGTACACGAAAAAAGGAGGAATCCTTAAAACAACAGTAGTATGTTACCCATCTACATAAAAACATATGATATTCTTATTAGTGTTTAGGACAACTGCTTGACAAAAATGAATAAAAAAAAAATAAGCTATCTTTCTTATGCGCTTTAAAGATTTGTACACAAAACAAGTTGATTTTGCCGTTACTTTTATTATTTAAAGTAGATTTTTGGTCACAGGTTTTTTTTTGAAATAAATATAAGAAAATGCAACTAATATTGTGAGTTTCATCTAAATTGGTATGATGTGGAACAGTGGCAACATGAGTATCAATTATAGAAAAGACACACTACAGGACCACAAGAATAAATTACATTAACAAACCGAAATTTGATTTCAAATTGGCTCATGTCTTCTAGAAAAGTGAACAATATACAAATACACGAAGCTAAATGATGGATAGGTGAAGGCAGTTATTTCCACGAAAGTTATTGAATTAGCTAGTAAAGGCTTAGAGAAAATTTGATGCAAAATTATATATTCAAATTCAACTGTCCATTATATAAACATTCAAATATTTTTAGACTCTTCAACTATTCAAATTGTGAATAAACAGCCGATAAGTTTGGTGGAAAATAAAACCATCGTCTTGATTTGTACAGAAGTGGATGGAAATCCAAGGAATACTTCATTTGTATGGTATAAATCAAACACTATCATTGGGGCGACGGCGAACTATTCCATTAGTGAAGCCCATGTAGAAGACGCTGGTAATTACACCTGTAAAGGATCAAATGGTTTTGGAAGGAAAAGTGAAGCAATAATAGAGGTGTTTGTTTTATGTGAGTACATTTTATTGGCATCATGTTACTATGAGTGCAGCACCATAACAGGAGAGACTCGTTGATTTGCATGAAGGGGTAATGCATACATAGTAGGATACGTTTGCCCTGTCGTAGCATCATGCCTCTCTCCTTCTAAAGAGGATAGGATTGCTTGAGTTTTTGTTTTTTACTTGGATTGGTATCTTCAGTCAGTACAAAAGCATTGACTAAAATACTGTTGATCTGCTTTGGCAATTAAGTTAAACATCTGTAAAATAGATTATTCAAAAGCAAACACTACTACGAGGAGTCAACTGATGATTTCAGTTAGTTATGTTACTTTTTGTTGAGTTGTCCCTCTGATATGTTTGCTATTGACAATTTATCTCTATCAACTACAGTTTTCATTAAAACACACATAGGATAAACATTGTCATTCAAGCGAATAACTGCTATACGACATGGAATGGAGATTTCAATCAAATTTACATATAAGTAAACTGCGGTCTTGCTTTGCTAATCTATTAAAAAAATACAGTTTCTCTTTAACTGATTAAGTTAGCCCCAAAACATTAAGATGGTAAAGCGTTTTAAGGGCAGTTTGACAATTTTGACTTTATTTATTAATCGATCTTGCCATTCTGATCATTTTTGTTATGAACAATTATTTTTGCCTCGTAAGTAATGTCTGCAAACAAACCCAACAAACATATCGTTCATTCACTAATTAGTAGATTTTTTTCAGATTATCACATTTGTCATTGTTTTTCTTCTCCAGAAAAAGTCCAGTTTATAGTTTTTTTCAATATAAGGATTTTCGTTTTTTACCCGAAAAATTTACCTCCAAAAAGGAACGCGAGCATGGCTTGGAATCGTCTTTCAAGAGTTATATCTCCTATAATTAGTCTACATGATTTTGGCAATATGACTTGTTTAAGATATTACATATTACCTTGCTGGTAATATTTATATGTACAGTTTCTCTGTATTCAACATAGTTACTACAAATTATACAAGTATTGGTAAAACATGTTATGCATGAGCAATTACAGGCGTATGAAGTATGTCGACGATCACTGTAATTTGACTTGTTGTACATCTTGATCTGCTGATAATTTTTTTATTTTTTTCTCTCTATAACACAAATATTAGATTCAAGCAAATTAACTCCTTAAAGAGTCGACTGACAATTGTAGCCGTTTGCAGTAATTTTTCTGTTGATAATTTTTTTCATCTCGCTATCGCAAATGGTTTATGCAAAATAACACTAAAATGAATAAACATGATTGTCATTCAACGACAATTATTCTTTTAAAGAGTCGGCTGAGGATTTAGGTAAAGCTTACTTTTTTGTAGATCTTGTACTGATAATTTTTGCACTAAATTGTCTTTTTTATTTAATCTAGAGTTTTAAAGATAATAACCAAACTTGCTATCAACTGGCAAAACTGTCATAAAAGGTGGTATTGGAGTTTTTGGTAAATGATAGAATTGTATCATGCTTTGTCAAAATGTAGTTTACATTGTGAAATGTTCAAAAATATAATAAAGGTACTAAGTCACCGATCTTGTTTGCAAGGTACAGATGAAGAAAAAATTACACTTTTTGTAACAATTAAACAGAAAAGCATTAAAATGTGAATAGATGAAAAATGAATAATTTAATTTTGAAAATAAACAAGAAGAGACCTCTTTTAATATGTTTTAAGAATGTTAAAGGAAAAATTGGGTCACCGCACGTTATTCCTGCTATAACATAAAATAGAGAAAAAATCCTGTCGTTTTAATGTTTAGATAATAGCCATAAATATCAAACAATTGGTTAAAAATAACATCTATCAGTAACAACTCTGTTGTTAAAACAGACAATAGGTGTATCTTGACATTGTAACATTACTATCCTTGCCAGATTTTTCTAACTCTTTAAGTAACTGTAGTATACCGATGTTCAAATATCGTAAATCGATTAAGTTTACAAATTCAAGTTACACACAACAACTGATTGAATCGCATGGACTCCAAAATGAGTAAAACCGGGTCGACAGTGTACGCCTTTTCTTGCATTTATGCATCAACCACCATTCAAGATTACAAGATGTCACAATCAGCAATGTTAATTTATATTATATTTCAAAACTCATGTTAAAAAAAGTATCAGCGATGATTTTCGAACTCACCTAAAGCGTTGCTGATGTAAACCTATTATACACATTTCATAACGATCTTACAAGAAATCTGGGTGTCAGAGTGTTTATTATTATTTTTTTTAAGTTGCATAACTTATTTGAAATATTTGATCAGCAGTGATTTTCGAAGTTGACCGAGAAATTGCTCATATAATCCTTTGATTTAAGTTTTAAAAAGTATCTAGCAGGAATTGTGCACTTGAGGGCGAGTACAATGCATTTTCTTTATATAAAATTTTGATTTCCAAAGGACATAACTCCTGTTAAAAGTGAATTACACAATGGTTTCATCAGGTGCAGAATCTGATTATCGTTCTATAGAAACTCGGTTGGTCCAGGGTTTGTGGAAGAACTCTTGTTCCTTAATTTGTAGTTGTATGTGTAACGTTTTTTGTTTGTCATTTGACTTTTGAAATTTGAATTATCCCTTTGATACCTTCTTACTCTTTTACACTTTCAGTTTTGCAACAATCTAATCAGTCATTTTATTACAAGACAAGACAAGACAAGACAATTTATTACAACTTAGGCTCACGTTTGATAACAATTATACATTAACAATTTCATAATTATACATTTGCAAGCAAGCAAGACAAACAAACAATAAATAAGTGATATTATTCAGATAAGCATAATAATTCGTAATCATGTTTACTATTGCCTCATTTACAGATTCACCAATAGTTTCTGTATCATTTGCTACGAATTTAAACACGATAGCGGAGGATAATACGGCTGTGTTACAGTGTACTGTACAGAGTAACCCACCTCCAAATATAGTGTGGACGAGACATAGAAGTAATACAATATTGCATAGTAGTAGTACTGTGTTTCAGAGCAACTTAACCATTGATAATGCTAACTGTTTTGACACGGGTAACTACACGTGCAAGGCAATGAACATTATTAACAACAACGAATACACCACTATGAAAGATATTGAGTTGTTTGTCGAGTGTAAGTTTTGTTTTTTAATTTGTTTAATTATGTTTATCTTATTGATCACATTTATTAATCAAACACGCATCAAACACAGCTTTCGAATAAAGAATGGAAATGGGGAATATGCCAAAGAGACAACAACCCGACCAATGCGCAGAAAACAGTCTAAGGCCACCGATTGGTCTTCACCGCAGCTAAAAAATCCCACACCAAAAAGTAAAAATGGGACTATTTTATGCTGAGGTTCAATCGCAAAATATGTATATCCAAAAAGCACTTGGAATTAATCAACTTAAGTAATGGCATGTCAGGATTAAAGCAACACATTCCGACCGGCACAACTCCAGAATGAATGAAAATCAAAAATCACCATCAACTGAATGCCAATTCTAATGAATCCGTAAATTGTGAACGAGGAACTAATTTAAAAGTAAGATGTATTATCATAAAGTGGTTGATATAAAGAATAGACGTCTTGACTATTTGATAGATATATTAGAAAGGCATAGTAACACGTGTACGTCAATGTGACGCGACGGTACATAATTCGCAGTATATAGTGAAGGTCATGTATGTGCAGTATTTACGACATACTTGGGGCCGCACAAAAGTGAAATTAGCAAAAAAATATTAAATTACATTGAAATGAATTATCAAGAAAATAAAATAACTGAAATATTTAAGCATCTTTCAAATGAATAAATGTCCATGAAAAAACTAAATTGAATCTCGTTATTTACACATTAGCTTTGTGACATGTTTTACTTGCACAGTCTATATTGTCCACATCAATTTTATTCTTAATAAAATCACTATTTCAACTAACTTCAAGTAGGTAAAGTTTTGTGATTGGTTGTGATTGGATGTGATGTTGGTCTATTTTTAGTCCGTATGACGGCTAATCTTGCTAGTCCGTCTCCTCCTACATGGAGTTTTTAAACAACGACTAGAGTCCATTTGATCCTCGGGGAATCTTCATATATCTGTACGACGTCACCAATGCTGATCACCTATTTTGTATTCCCTGTTTTACAATGATTTACTCGTAGAGATGTTAAGTACTCATGATTCTTTTTATACCAAAAACTCTGAATAATGGTAGTATTGACAGACAAATTACTACTTATTGATTGTCAGGGTTGAATTAGTTTTCTAATTTGACGGGTTTTTGAATCTAAATCGAACATGTACTCATCTGTTTGCTGAATTTCATCCGCCACGTCTTCATCCGAACAAACTCCCACAATTTTATCATTAAGATCTTTTAGAATGTCCTTTTTCTGTAACACGAAATCTAAAATAGCTGTCATTTCCTCATTTTCTATTTCGGAAATTTCTCTAATGTCTCCAGAATTCTTCCAAAGTCTTGTAATTTCTCCGTTGTGTCCGGAACAAACGGCTTTGTATCCACTTTCCATTCAGTTCAAGGCACCATAATATCATAAAGTGGTTGATAGACAGAAAGACGTCTAAACTATTTGATTGATGTATAAGAAAGCCATAGTAACACGTCAAGGTGACGTGACGTTACATAAAGCGCGGTACATAGTTAACATCATGTGTGCGGTTTTTACGACAAATGTGGTATGATTGTCAATGTTGCAAATATCCACAAAAAGAACAAATAACGTAGAAGTTTACAACTATAGGTCACCGTTCGGCCTTTAACAATTATTAAAACCCATACAACATTGTAAGCTATAAAATACGGAAGCCCTGGAGTGTCATGCAAAAATAAAATTACAACTTGTGCGCACGAGTTACTAACTTGTGCGCACAAGTCACACAACTTATGCGCACGAGTTACACAACTAGTGCGCACGAGTTACTAACTTGTGCGCACGAGTTGTACAACTTGTGCGCACAAGTTATATGTGTTCTAATTGACATGCGCTGATTTTGCTTAGAAGACTTATGTATGGAACGCCGTAGCTGCCTAATGCGAACATATGTTTATATATGCACATAATTTTCAATATCTGCAGATACTTTTTCTTTATACGCACATACTTTTCCTATATATGCACATAATTTACTGTATATGCACATACTTTTCCTACATATGCACATAGTTTACCCTATATGCACATAGTTTACCTTATATGCACATACTTTTCCTATATACGCACATAGTTTACTTTATATGCACATACTTTTCCTTTATATGCACATAGTTTACCTTATATGCACATACTTTTCCTATAAATGCACATAGTTTACTTTATATGCGCATACTCTTTCTGTATAATATGTTATTCAGGTCGCAGACAGGGTATCTAATGTGACATTCCCGGCTTAGGCTTTATATTCCCTGAGCCGAAGGCGAAGGGTATATAAAGCCTAAGCCGGGAATGTCACATTATATACCCTGTCTGCGACCTGAATAACACATATATTACAGATTACCCTTTTATGCATTTTCTAGTAATACTTTTTGTTGAATTACAGATATACAATACCAGTTCGTTTACTCCTCTTCAGTTCATTTTTTTCTGTATCTCGATGAATACATTTTTTTAATCGTCAGAAATAGTTTTGCAAACAGTATTTACCGTGCAGATTCACTGTTTGAGAAAAAGTAATTTTTCTAATGTACTTTGACCACAAGAAATATTTATAAACCCAACCTCATATATTTCGCATACGATACGAAAAACATTTTATGATTTGCAATCAAAACATTTTTTTTTGTTAAAGTATACATTGTACTTGATAATGAAAATAAGTTTCAGTCATATGTTTGTTATTTGCTTTTTAAATAGCTTGATTTTGAATAAAAACCATATCATTGAAGAATACCCATCATTTTATAACCTATTGGAGCCTCTGACATTCTTTTACCGTTTTGTGAATTACGTCACATAATGTATTGTGTAGTGTATTTGGAGAAAGGGGGGAAATATATAAAATAATCAAATACAGACTATTTTAGAAGCTGGCAAATTTTATAACATATTGTATCAACAACAAATTGTAAACGTAAATAGAAGCTTTTAAATGAAACGAAGTACTGCTGTGTTTGTAGCTGGCATAACTGAAAGGGTAGAAGGTTGTTGGCCACGAACAGAGTTTGTGATAATTTCACCCATTACTTGTTTCTTTCTGCTTGAAACACGTTGGTATACGGCAACAGAGGATTCGGATTGATGGCCTGTCACGGACATTATCTGTGCCATTGAACATTTTCTTCCGAGAATGGTTGCGCCTGTTGCTCTAATAGAGTGATTGGTGTATGTTGTGGACAGGCCTACTTTATTACTAAGTGTCGACAAGAAAGATGATAATGTGTCTTTTCCTATAGGACGTTTTGTATACCAGCATTTATCATTGGAGTTGAAACTTTGTTTTGGATATTGCCAAAGTCTATCAGAACCTGGATGCAACTTTGAAAGGTAGGTTTCAAAATTTTTCACCAAACAATATTCAGGCATTTCAGAATCTTCAGGCATATGCCCAGACACTTTCTAATGATCGGATTCTCTCTTATCTTTTGTCATTTCATCCATCTTCTTTGGAATATATTTTTGGCCAGTATTTGCGTAAGTTTTGACAACGATCGTTTCCTTTGTCATGGATTCTATATTTTCATTTGCTCTACGGCAGAAATATAAACGAATGTTCATTTGAACACGGTTTGCTAGGCCAAATGGTGTACTTGGGTCCAAATAAATGCTATTATATAGCTTGGTAAGATCCTCAGATTCTATTTCAGGGTAGTGAGCAATGTCCCCTTTACCAACTGATTTTATTTCTGCTTTGGCTGTTTTGAAACATTCATTTGCATCTGTAAACTCTGTGGTTTTGATTAAATCAAATTTTTTCAAGAAGGATGGACTTTTCATATATCGGTTTAATGCATGCCTTGTATAAATTAAATTGGTAGATTTATACATTCCTCCTTCTTTTGTGCGGGCATCCATATAAAAATGAGAAAGTGTTTCAGCAAGTCTGTGAATTGCAAAGCTTTCAAAGTTTGTGTCCATGTTTTTTCCCTTAAATATGAGCGAATTAAATTTGATGCACCCTTATTTGCCTTGACTGTGTTTAGAGGAACCAAATTCTGTTTTTTTGCAATTACATCTTCTTCAGAATGAAAAGAGCAAACCGCTTCATGTTGCCTTGTTTGGTTGTTTTGTTTTGCAGACGATGTTTTGAGTGCGCATAAACGGGAAACTATTAGTTTTGTTATTTTATTCAGAAATTTTTTAATATTTATTTTTATTTCCAAAGTAGCTGATGCATAAATATAACTAAAATTTATATTTATTAGAATATAATTGAAATGTTTATTGCTGAACCGTAAAAATAATCCGCCATTTTTTTGATATTTCTATTGACATTTTTGGGGTTCCAATTGGGGCAAAAAAACGTCGTATATACCCCCGCAGTTTCCTGAATATATACTGACATCTCCGTGCTGTTATCCAGTCACAAAACTCGACACATTTGTAATCCGTAATATATATATATCTTTATTATATATATATATATATATATATATATATATATAATAAAGATCAATTTTGTTACATCTTGTGATCCGTTTATTTGGCAATCGCTAGTGGCAGTCAGCAGTGTTTAAGAACATCCGTTGTTCGACCTGTTAGTCAAATGCGTTTTGTTTAAATATACTTTTTCACTTTTTTGGTCTTTTGGAAAATGTTTTCTGTGCTGTTTTTAGACCCCTCTACCAAGAATTTGTTTTGCATGCACACGTATAAAAAATGCGGTTTTTATCCAACGCAATCATAGGTTAAACGTTGTTTTCAATTTAGACTTATATATATATATGAACACAGTTTACTTTATATGCACATACTTTTTCTATATATGCACATACTTATTCTACATATGCACATACTTATTCTACATATGAACATAGTTCTTCATGTGGATACTTTTCTCAATATGAACATAGTTTTTCAATGTGAGATAACCATTCATATGATACTTTTCTGTTGTTTTTCAGACTGAAATAAGGGTCCCAATACCGTAAGAAGAATGTTTGATAAATA